ATATATATATATATATATATATATATATATATATATATATATATATACATGTGTATATATGCAGCAGGGGTTAGTTTGAATAGCGGTGACAGTGGTCTGCAAACTGAAATGTGGACATTCATTATTTAGATAATTTCTTAGTTTGTCTCAATATATAAAACAATTATAAATTATAATTCGTCCGCAGTTAATGAATAAATTATATTAAGACAAATAACCGTAATCCTTACAGAAGAATGATTTTGTATAACATCAACCCTGCAGAGTATACAGTCAACTATTTACGTTTATACGTATAACATTTAGGGGGCTACAGTACATATTTATTAAAGACCTGCACAGGCCGGGCTTACCCGGACCGGCCCGGAATTGACCCGGCCCGGACCTTCAATTAGCACAAAAGTTACGGGCCGAACTTTTCTTAAATAAAATCCGGTACCTACTACCTAGTACCTACTACTTACAACTTATTAATTTTTTTTATTATTTTAAAGACAAACTTTTTAATATGAATAACAAATTGTAACATAACTTTTTAATTAGTTATGTTACAATTTGTTATTCAAAAGACTGAAAAGTACATTATGTGATATTTGTTGTTTAAATTTTATATTAATTTTATAAGATGTTTTTTTTATTATTAAATATGTTGTTAAAGACAAACAACTTTTTTTTGAAATTGTATTAAAAGTAATGTTTTAAATTAATAATATTTTAAAAGTTAGTTATAATATATTAGGTACTTAGTACTTACTACTTAATTTGTTATTCAAAAGACTGAATATTTTTTCATTTCTAACCGGGCCGGACTATCTAAAAATGTTACCGGGCTGGACCGAGCTGTAAAGTATCGGCCCGTGCAGACCTTTAATATTTATGCATAAACATTTAATTATGACCTTCTATGACATGTCTGAAAGTACTTAAATTATTTTAACCATATATGTAGACTGATATTATTAATATTTGACTACATTTCAACATGATGATCTAAAAAAAAATGTAAGTGAACATTTCGTACAATTTGAAGTCTTCAATTATTTTTTAGTTTAGTAATTTTGAAAATTTTTTCTTGATTTGTACAAAAAAAAATTGTGAAAATTTTACAGCCATAGTTCAAAATATGACTGTGATGCTATGATTTATGTATAATATTACTAATTATTAAAACAATTGTTGGATTTTTTTTTCATTCCTTATCAATGTATATAATTTAAAATATATTTGTGTTTACAATATCAGTGTACGTACAACATTTAACATTTAGTAACTTTAGGTAATATTTTCTTTCAAACAAAATAACGCTGTACACAAATATGGCTTTAACTGATTTGTTGAAACATATTTTTATTTAATATCAGCCATGTATAATAAGCAATGACTGTTTTTATTTTTCTATCTTTTTTTTTATTTTTTTTTTTTTATTAAACCGCTGGAACGTGACACGCGTGAACCCGAAATATTACACTAAAAATAACATTTCATTTTTCGTTTTTTATAAGCTATAAATTATATTTCCAGTTTTACTCTATAAAAACTATCCTCTCTTGTATATAAACTTTATTACTTTACACGTCAATCGTAGTGTGAGTCGAAAAGTGCCGTTTCAAGTATGCATGATTATTTCAAAAAAATAGAAATAAAATGTTAGAATCTAATTTATCAAAATTCACCTATAGGTTTATTAGGTTTTATTTTTATTTATCGTGGATTATTAAACGTTAATTATTACAGTTTACTTTATCTAGTGAATAAAATATATAATATATATAAAATATCCTAATTATGGTAAATAATATTATTCAGATAATATTTAAATCATAAACTTGTTCTCTATTATTTTACAGCATGCAATCGAACATACTATGGAGATGTTGGTAAAACGTACGAGTTCGAATTACATAGACCAAAACCGGACCAATTACCGTTTATTTGTTTTATAAAACTTGTTGCACCAGGACACCATTTAGGAGATTTAATACAAGTATGTTTTTATATTGCTATTTATAAAGATTTTCTGTAAACATTCACATTTTCATGAATTATAAATTACATTTATTATAATACGTATAATATTAGATTCTGAATGATACGAAAAATGTATTGATTTTACCTTGATGTTTTGTTTTTATTTGTGTTTCTGTACACAATTTTAACTAGAAAAATTTCTTCGATGCTGTTAATAGGCACTTGAAATTAAGAATTTACAATCAAGAAAAATTATTCTACTATATCCTCCATCATTAAAACTATAAGCTGATCCATTAAACCTCTTTCACTCGGAATCATTTTTTTGAGAGCAATGGTTTCTATTTTAAAATAAAAATATAGTAGTACCATTCACTCATCTCTATATCTAACCCGATCGGGAAGCCGCACCTAACCTAGTAGATTCATTATTTTTTATACTCAATATTATTATATATTATATTATAGTAATTATATTTTATAGTAAAAAAAAAAAATGTGTATATTTTTCAGTTTTAAAACTTGACATTAATATTTCATTCATATAATTGATATTAATGCTCTAATGATATTCTCCTAATCATTTTATTTTTCTTAAAATACGATATTGAAACTGAGAACAAAAAGTAGAAGGATCATTAGTTACTTCCATTGGGTTTTTGGTAATTAAGTATAATAATAAAATAATATTATTATTTAGAAAAATTATAAAAATGGTTATTTAATTTAATTTACAATTCAAATGTACGTTGTATTCAACTTTTTGTAAGTCTGGGATTAAGTGAAATAAAGAACGATTATTAAAATCTGTGAAATGAAAGGAATGGAAACGATGGAACTTCTTGAATTTTTGCTATACAGATTATGCAGAGAATATTTCTGAAAATATCGAAACAGCTTAAGTACTTTATGAAGAAAAATACATTATTTATGAATGTTGTAGTGTTTTGTTTATTATAGTACGTATATAATATAATCATTAATTGTTAATTAATTACTTGTTAGAAAACTATTTTAGAAAACTATTATTTTGTTTTGAAAAATAAATTTAAAAATTAAATTAAAATATATTAAATATTATTACTAAAATTAACTCATTTAAAGAGTAAGATATTATAAAATAAAAAACTATAACTAAATCTGATAATTATTTATACATGATCAAAAAAAAAAAAAGAAGAGTATTTATGAATATAAAACCGTTCTAATATATAAATTATAAATTATTGAAGTACATTTTTTTTGGATCAATAAGATGTTAGCATATTTTTAGTAGAAGTTATAATAAATATTCAATCATATATTTAAATTTCATTCAAAATAAATAAAATTGTATTATTAATACATATTAATTAACTGAATTAGACAATTTACTAAGAATTTATTGTGTAATGAAAAATTGATTTTTCATTTAAAATATTATTACAAACTGAAATGACACCTACCAGATAGTGAATTAGTATATATATATATATATACATACAATAACAGTAAAAGATTATGTTGAATTATTACGGGTATGAGACTATTATCCAAGAAGATTTTATGTGGATCTTGGAAATAATTATTAAACCCTAACAAGTTGCAATCTCTTTTTTAAAGTACATGTACCTTAATTGCTATAGCACTGTCACAAGTATTATAAAAATAAAATGAAAATTACTGTTAGAAATTAAAATAATAAAAGAAAAAAGTTGATTCAATAATTACATCCTAAGAGGATGATATTTCGTAAAAAAAAAACACAGAAAATATTAAAAAAAGTTGATTTTATTAATTAATTTTTTTGAGTAGATCATGTATTATTAATTTTTATACAATTTTAAAAACTTATGGTTTAAAAAACAACCATTAAGAAACAACAACTTAAATTAATTTTTGTTATTAATGTACAAAAAGTTTAAAAAAACTTCAAATTAAAATCAATACCAGGAAAAATCGTTATAATAATTCTATATTTTATAATTTTTAAATATTTTTAAAAATCACAATTTTATTCGAATCTATGTTTCTTTTATTTGTTTATTTATTTGTCACTAACAACAATGTTTCAAATTTAATTCTACTTTATTTACATGATTAATTTACTGAATTGATTTAATATATGCATGATAGTTTTAAATTTTTTTAAGGTTTTAGTGTTTGAAACTTCAAATTTAAATTGATAATTTAGCATTATCTATTGATGGGGATTGTTATTAAAGTACTATACAACTATATTGCGGTAAAAAGTATATGCTATTTATTTGAGTTATAATATAACTACTCCCAAGTCTACATTGATTCATTTTATTTTCCAATAAAATATATGAAAAACGCAAGTTACAAAAATTTTAAATTTAAAGTAATATTAATCTATAAGCTCTATTTTTTTGTTTTTTTTCTGTGAAATAACCTTCAGTAAATATGCCACTGCAGTGTACAATTTTGTTCTTTATAGTCAAAAACATTTTTTTATAGACTTAAACTAGGTTATTCAGACTTATCACAGCCGTAGGAAAGGTGGTTTTTGCTTATTATCCTTATTTCTAAAAGAGCTGTAGATAAAATAGCAGGCGTCTTCAAAAGAACAATTTTAATCACCTTTTAGACTTTGCAATGCATTTTTAGTTCCTTTTTACATATTTTTGATTAATATAAACTAAAGAAAAATATTCAACTGAAATAGAATTTGATAAAAGTTTATATTATTTAATTATTTTAGGTATTAATTAAGTTAGAAATTTGCTATTTATATTTGTCAAAACATCGTAAAATTGTAAAATTTCCATAATAAAATGGATAATATACGTTATGGTATGGTCCTATTGATCAATGTTAATGTCCCAGAAAATAAAACGGCCCGAGCCAAGTTTACTTCTACAAAAAGGGACGTGAAATACCATACATAAGTATCGTGTGTTATAATTTATTTGGAAAGAGCAAACTCAGTTGTACAAATGATAATAACACAGGATGGGTTGGATATTCGTTTTCGGTTCTATTGCCGACGACGATACGTGAGTGTAAAACTCCAGTGAGATTGTTTTCAAACGCTTTCTTTTTTTTGTTTTTTTTTTCTTTTTTAGAATACAAATGATTAAAGCTTGGTAAAATACATTTTCAATTTAAGAGAGTACCACATTTAGTATAAATTATACAGCGCAGTGTAGATACTTTTATGTACTACAGATTTTATGCTATGGTATAACTCGTGTAATCTTTAGTGTGACGTAGTACTCGAGACAATCGATTATTATACTTCGAGAGTGTATAACAATAAATTGTAAAATGACGCATTTTGCGTTTATAAATAATTTTACGAACAAAATATTTTTTTAAACTTCATTAAAGACTAGCGTTCTATATTGATTACTCTTAGGAGCATCGATGTTTACATAAATTACAGTAATTATTACCGATGGCGAACGCAGGAAAAAAATTTGACAGGAAGGGGGGCTTAAAAATATATGAAATGTAAAATGTTGATAAATAGCATGTTTGATTACTCATTATTTAATATATATATTTTTATATTATATTTACAGACCTCGTGGGAAAATTTGAAATAAATATTTCATTTGTAAGTCATGTCATGTTTTATAAACAGTTTTCTGATATTTCGGGGGTGGGGGGGGTGTCAAAGCCCTAAAAACCCTCTATGTTCGCGCCTGGTTGTCACAGCTCACAGCTAAATATATAGAGAAAGTGTTGAGTTTTCATAACATGTATAAAGCTGAAAATGGTCATACATATTATACATTCAGTGACAGTAGCGTATTTGCAATTCTCCCGTAAGAGAAAAAATACTTTTGTAACTCAACCATCAGATTTTTGTCCAAAGTTGAAATATGATAAATAAAATAAATACTCATGCTCAAATAACATTTTTTTATTTTATTTTTATTACTAAAATATACGAAAGATTATGTTGGTATTTCTTAGGGTTTTTAGCAATTTTGTTGATACAACGTTGGTGCGTTTACACATTGCTACTAGAAAATGTACAGACAATATCAAAAGTTAAGAAATTCAAACTAAATCTAAAAGGAATAGAAAATAGAACATATACTCTGTAATAACGTGATTAAAAAGATACAACGAATATCTCAATCTTCTATTGGATTAAATGTTTGCTAGACTATATCTGGAATATTAATGGTATTTTAGATAACATTTTGAGTTTTTTTTATTTATGCGGATAATTATAATTGCGTATGAAATGTTATCTTGACTCAAGAGAGTGAATCGTTCCCCCACGACTTTTTCTCCGTAAACACAACATTGTACTTGTGGTGCCCCTATAAAAAATGTCGGACAGTGGCGTAGCCAAGATTTTTAAATAGGGGGGCTAACCACTTTTTTTGAATAAGTAAGGTAAAAGAGGATATGAGAATTCACCCTAAACCCCCCACCATCTACCTCCAAGTTTCTAAACGTAATTCAATCATTTTAGTATAGTTTTAAAAATATTTATTAATATATAATTTATAATAATAATAATAATTTTGGTTTCAGTGTTCAGTCACTTGCTCCACTCTGACAGCTGCATTCTTTTAGGCGAATTTCTGATGAATTCAGTTATTATTTGACTTTCATCGAATTGCTCTTTTTTATTTATATTAGTCATAGCTAACCCATTCAGTCTGTTTTCCGACATGGTGCTTCTTAAAAAAAATTTTAAGTGATTAAGTGCTGAAAACGTTCTTTCCGGAGTGAAAGAGGAAACTGGTAACGTGGCGAATAATTGTAAAAGTATTTTAATGTTAGGTCGAAGATTGGTGTGATGAGAGAGTGAATCAAGAGCAGAATTCGGTTTTGGAATAGTATTTTGACTCCATTGTTGCCTCCATATGAACAGGTCAGCTCTGATTGTAGATGAGGTATCATCATGGAGATCTTGGACATATATTTTAGCAGCTTTTATAATATTTTTATCGTCATAAATATTTAAATTGGCCGGAATAAGTCCTTCAAGTGACATAACATCAATATGCCTTTGATTAAAACAAGCATTGATTCTATTAAATAGTCAAGATACATTATACATATAAACACGGCCCATGGGGGAGGCTATAGCCCCCTTAGCCCCCCCCTTGGCTACGCCACTGATGTCGGGTAATGAGAGTTGTCCCCCTGACAACTCATAACCGTCATAGTTGAATTTCTGTACAAAAAATATTTTTAAACTATAAAAATCTTTGAAATATTTATATTACTTATTGTACTCGATGTATAAATTATTGTCCTTCATAATAAATTCAAATATATTTAAAAAAAATATATATATATAATAATTAAATTACACGTTGTATCCCAGGTGACTTTGGACAGTTTCACCATCGGTCGGTTCGCATCTTACACGAACGCTGGATGTCCGGACGGCGACCTACACATCACTGAGTCTGACAGACCGGCTGTATCCGGTGGCTGGTGCGGAACGTCTTGGGCACCGGCTCATTACTACAGTGAGACCAATTCAATCACTCTGTTGGTCCGGTTGTACACACTGTCAAGCCTGGACAACACTGGATATAACTTTGATTTCCGGTTAGGCTATAAGATGCTGAACCGGAACCGCGCGGTCGTCCGGTACGGCGAGCAAAAGATGTTTGCTAGTAAGTATACGACGTTAAAGTCGATAACAAAATAATACATATAACACTATTACGGCTATTATAATTATTATAATCCGAGAGCGAAGTATTAAGTCAAAAAAAAATGATTCGTTGTATTTTAACGTACAATTAGCGACATTACTCTCGGGCCTAGTACTCACATAGTACGCGATCATATAAAATACAAAAAAAATAAATAAAAAATCGCCGTAAATACAAAATTAAAATGTACATCATTTGGCTTTAAAATGCCATACTACTCAAAATTTGCCCCTCGTGCTTCACTCACGCATGTTTACATCACGCAAGATTTTTTCGTTTCCACTCAATGTATTACGGTTCCTGTATTATTGAAATTTACGTCGAGTACCTTTATATTATGCACGTTCGAGTAGACGTGCTTTAAATTATTAACACTACAAATTTTTAAACATTTAAGATAATTTCGTCGTTTCCACAGTATCTTCATCGCAGTGTGCTTCCAATTCAGTAATTGATTGGTGGCAGTGTTCGAATTAAGGGGGGTGTGTAGGGGGACGGAGCTCCTCTACTATTTTTTTTTTGTGCGTACCCCTACTATATTTTTTCACCGGAACGGGGGGACGCCACGTTCATCCTAATTGATGTCCAAAATAATTTTTATGTGAATTTCAATTTACGTCAATTTGAAAACGAATTTTGCGATTTATAATATCAAAACTATTTTTATAATTAAAGATTATATAATGATTATGATAAGGGACAACGTCGTCATTTTTGGAAAAATATAAATAGTTATGTCTGTAAATTTGGTGTATTATACTTTATACGTTGTACAGTTTGTTATTAATATTGGCGATCGACGATATCGTCATTTTGGAAAAAAATAAATGGCTTCATCACGACCTTAGAATAATCTTCTAAGGCCGTGGCCCGCACTAGAGTAAAAATAAATAAAAACAAAAAACAAATATATGATTATATCATTCGATTCACGAGACTGCTTGATCGCCTACAATTACCTATGTTAATTATTATTTTATTTTTATTTTCTATTGTAACTTGTAGGATGTTAGTATTGCTATCAAAATATATTACATTTGGAATTTAAATATTTGTTTAGCTGAAAAGTGGTATTCAAAATATATTTAAGGTTGGTGGAGGGGTGAAAAGGGACGAAGCCCCCCACGGGTCTGTGTTAAATAATTGCGCACGTGGAACGCAGTTTTAAAATTGTTGGACTGAGCTCCTCTACTTAATTTTTCTCAATTCGAGCACTGATTGGTGGTGATAGTATACATACTAGATGAATTTGTGTGAAAGCCGAATAATAATACAGTAACAGTATTTCAATATTTTTCTAAAGTATTATATCAATCGCATTAGAATAATGATTGTAAAAAAAATATTTAAAATTGATTCCAAATTAAGAAACTAAACAATTTATCATGAACATAGGAGTATCAAAGTTTTAAAAACTATATTTTATATTTCTATAGGTGAGTTCGGGCAAGGATGTAATTATGTATTTTACATGGTAGGGAACGAAAAGGTCAAAATTTGAGGTGGAGAGGCTTGATGAAAATTATTTTAAAATCAATTTAATTTTATTGGTGGTAAATTGTTTACTTCAATAGGGTTTTGAACTATTAAATCGCCCCATATAGCTTTGCTCATACTGCTAATCCAAGTTAGATGGACTAATACAAACGGTTAAATTTCTGGTGTGTACACATTCTACCCATCTCTCTAATAATATTCCTGCCGTTTTTGATATGATACCTCGCTTAAGCCGAGCGTGGGTGCATACTCGGTGATTGAACTACAAAATTAAGTTAGTGTGACATTTTCATAAGTGTTGTGAATATGAGAATATCATTATGCTTTTACACAAGAGGCTCAACGTTAAAATAAACTAGATTAAACGTTTAAGGGATTCGGTGAAATAAAAATTAGAAATGTAATACATATATACATATATCTGTATATTCATTATTACATGTATTAAAAAGACAGGAATCATAATTAGTATTAATGACTTAAATAAATTTTAAAATATAAATATCGTAAAAATAATGAATCCACCAGTTTTAATTAAACTATTTTGCTTGTCAATTAATATTTCAATTTAATTTAATTAATGGTATGTTCAAATTAATAATTCCGGAGTATGGTAATTCATTGTAATCGAAAATTAACCGACCAATATATACCAACTTAGATAGATATATTATATATAAATAGTCGGTATATTTTTTTAGAATTATTCAAATAATTGCTTATGCAAACAGTATACATTTTATTGTTACGTGTTTTAAATGAAAATATTTTGTTATAGTTTTATTAAAATTTAAAATTCCTACTCATATACAAGGGACGGAGAAAATAGTATGAACACCATGTAGTATAGTTACATATTGTTGCATGTTGTTTATACCATATCTCCAACATCACTGAAGCAATTGGCGGATATTTTGGTAGAAGGATGGGAAAAAATTCCATTGGAAACTATTCCGGTTTTTATTCCATGAAGGATTAAAACTGTTTTAAAAGCAAACGGTGGCCCAACACCTTATTAATAAATAAATATGTAAATATAAATAATTAAATTGCGTATGTCAGATGTTCATATTATTTTATCCACCCCCTGTATATTAGTTATAATTTATAAAGTAAATACTAAAAAATGTTTTCATAAATTGCGATAAGAACATTTAGTTCAACAAATGTATAGAGGAAGACTTCCTTTTCTTTATGTCACGTTATAATAATATATACCAAAGATGATTCTATATTTCTCTTATTTTTTCGCAGTGCTAATATTTAAATATTAGTAGAAAGGCATAAGAAATTATAATTAAAGTCGTAGTATATTTCTTGTTTTGATTTTATTTGAAATCATTGTAGTACACTGCATATTGCATTGTAGTATTTAGTATATACTCGTATAATATACTTATACTTTTCGTCTGATTTTTTTGACTACAAAATAAAATATTTTTAACATTTTCTCATATTCTATTCAATGTTTTCTGTTTTAATTATGTCCAATATTTATTTTTATTTTTTTTTTTTAAATATTTTAATCGTATAGAATTTTAAAATTATTTATTTATTATGAAATTATGACAAACTAAAATTCCCAACTTTTTTAAGTATATAGTCTTCTACGGGTAATTTTAAAATTTCATAGCGTTTTCACTATTTTTTCCCAGAAGTTAAATAAAGTTTTTAAAATCTTGTATCACGAAGTCTAATGAAACTTACAGCATTGAACTCAGTCGGTATGGTTGAATAAAATTAAATTTTTTGCATGAGACGCCGCTGAAAATCTCTCGTGATAGTCACTCATTCGTACATGACTTGGTAAAACGTTGAACGTCTCTCTAGAAATTTTGCTTCACCAAGTGGACATATCATGTCATATTATTTGTATAATCATGATATTCTGATTATTAAATATAAATACTCAACACGCCCTCGGCGTATTATGTATTAAATTACAGTGTGCACTGTAAGCTATTGATTACCATGTATAATATGTATAGCACGTATAAATTCGGGTTGGATGGCATTCTTCTTTTTTTATAACATCCACGAGTGCACGCCCAAGCATGGAATATATTTTGAAATCAAATCATATTTGTTGTTGATTGAATTTTCATCACTGTTGTTATTTTCCGTCCATCAGCATAACGCTAGTATTTATATTACTAGAATCGCATAACTCAAAATAATACACAATGTAATACACACGGAAGAGATAAAATAATGTTGATGGATAAAAAATATTGAGGTTGAATTGTAACAAGTTAGTACGCATAAAATGCACAAACGTTTTATTACAAAAATTATATTTGATAACGTTTTCTCTCATAAATATAAACGACTTAAAACAATTTTTAAATCGAATGCACAAAAATATATTTATATATATATATATATGTTTTATGGCATAAGATATATCAATGTCCCGTTTTAACGTATTTCTATTTTTATTTATGGGGACAAGACAAGAAAAACAAAGAGGTTATATTATTAAATAGTTAGTAAATTACCGACGTTCACTTTGTCAAAATTGTAACTACACGAATCGTACCTATACAGAATTTTAAGAACATATATATATATCCTGAGAAAAGTTAAAAGATAAATGTAATTATGAAAACTGATGATTCGTACAGTATATCAATTGGCGTGTTTAGGGCCCATTAGGGCTTTATGAATTTCACAGCCAAAGCTATAATCAATTTATAAACAAGTGTACGTGCTTAATTCGACACGGCATCCATGCCGAAATCTGACCATACCCGTCCGAATTAAACACCGGATCTTTTACGGATGAAAGAGGGTCGCTTAGCTCGATGAATACAATTTATATGATTGTTGCAACAAATGTAATTATAATAATAATATAAAAAAATGCGCCATGGACGTATTAACAAGAAAAAAAATTAGATACAATTAAGTAATAATAATAATAATAATAATACATATAATAAGCCACTACGGCGCGATAATTTACTAAAATATGGCACAAAAAAAAAGGCGATATAATAAAATCAAGACGCCACACGTTACAAGGTGCGACGATAATACCTTAGGCGGCTGGGTGTTGCGCCCACGCGACAGCGCTTAGCATGTGCGACGAACACTAGAGCCGATGGTCGACTTCTTCGACAGCAAAGTGTAATTTGTTCACGGATAGAGCCGGCAATCTTGTGTACAGCAAACTGTTACTGGTTCTCAGCATCCGAATGTCGACTACAAAAATGAGAACGCAATGTGGTCGCACAGCAAAACCACATTGAAAGTTGCAGGCGTACTAACTAGCATTTCGGCGACAAAATGGATTTTTTCCGGTCCGACCATAATAATAAAGGTGGTAATAGAATGTTCTCGAAAGAACCATATATCCACGTCTCTGGTCGAACCGGTCGGTGTACGACAAAGTTTATCACTTGAAAATGTTTGCGCGAACATCAAGAAAAAATATTATTAAAGAAAATAAACAAAATGTA